GGAACCTACAGGCTGTCACGTGTCCTCATTCCCCGTCATCTCAGGTAGAAGGTTGACCCGGTTGTAGGGAGCGAAGACCTGTGTGAGAATTCAGAAGACCCTGACTCCTGATTTGTGGCAGTTTGTTGTCATTTGTGCATAGCAGATGGTCCTCCACGTTTATATCCTGATTTGATAACTTCCTGTACTTGAAGTCTGAAAAAGAAAATAAAGGAAGCAAATTTTCTTGCAGTGATTTTAAATTGTGATAGAGTTTTAAATTGAAATAAGGGAACATGTCCTAATTCTTCTGTCCTGAGAAGCATGTAATTTTAATGTTATATCATATGTATATATATATATATATATATGCAGTATGTATATACATATATATTAATACAGGTATTTTTACTTAATCTATAAGATGTAGTGAAAAACTTGTTTTTCTTTTCTTTTTTGTTCTTTTTCTTTTCCTCTTTTTTTTTTATATAAATAAACAGTTGCTTGTCGCATTCGTTTGTGGGTGTTTAATTCAAAAGGGATTCTTTTTCTCTGTTTTGCTTTCCCTTGCCAGTACCCCACCTCATGGGACAAACCAGTCCAGAAAGTGATTTCATGGATGGAAATCAACCCAAATTATTAGGTTCTTACCTTCCTGCTCTTCTCTACTTAGAGACCACACTGCCCCAAGGTCATCAACTAGAAACTCTAGTTTAATCTGCATGGTAGCTGTAAGTGACAAAACCCATTTCTAGTAAAATCTTAAGGCTGCTTTAAGGAAAAAAAAAATAAGCAAAGGAAAAAGATTGAACGGATAAAGACTAGAATGGTATCGGTGATTTTCTCTATGGTGGTCGGAGTAGGGTCCATTTGTTTCGCCTAAATTGTCCACAATAAATAAGATCTGCTTTTCTAAGGAGAAAAGAAATAGTGATGGAATAAAACTAGAACATGGGCATGCGTTGAGAGGATGGCACTGAAATTGAAATTGCGGTTGCCTGAGAGGAGTAGAACCTCGTTTTCTCGTATCAACTCTCCTGAATGTCGACTTCATTTCTCCTGCTTCAAAAGACAGCTTCAGGCTTAGCACCAGGCAGCTAGGACCTAGGAGGCAAGGGTTGCCTCTGGCAGCATCAGTAAATAAAATCCCAGAGAAGGATTTCGGTTGCTCCAGCCTGGGGCACGGAGCCATCCCGCTGCTTGGGAGAGAGAAGCGTTACATGACTGGGCTGGGCCCAGGGACCTGGGGACAGGGTTGGGGAAAGAGCTGTTCTCTTCGAAGAGGGAGTTCTGTTAACAGGAGAAAGGGACAGGGCGAGGATGCTGAGCGAATAAAGCAGGGTACTGGAAGGGTCTTGATACTTGCTTTGTGCAGGTGCCTGTTCATAAGAGTATGGGGCCACCTAAGCTCCTAACATGCTGAAGCCATACTGAGGGATCATTACGACCCAAATTTGAAGAGTTTAAGGACCGCTGAGCTCGTTGCCCTGCCCCGAGAGATGCTGTGGGGGCCTTCAGTGCCTTGAACTCTGGGTAGGCTGGAACTGCCTGGCAAGGTCCCAGCGTGGGTTGCCAGCTCTGCCTCCTGCAGGAGGGAAGAAACAGGCCATCCATAGCTCACCTCCTGGGGCCTCAGAGCGTATCAAAAGATACAGAAGGAGCCAGAAGGAAGCCTTTCGTGGCCTTTTCCTTAGAGTTGCTATGAAATGCACTCTAGCAATATGTTCCGCATCCCCTGGGAGCTGCCACTGCCCTGGGGTGACAGAGGTCTCTGTATGCACAAGAGCATCCCAGGGACCCAAAGTCTCTGTGGAGAGGACTGGCGGGCACCTCTGGGAGTTCTGATTGGTTCCGAAATCTGGATCCCACACCTGGGACAAGGAATCAGAACTCTGGATGGGAATTTTTTGCAGAAAGGGGTTTACAATTACTACAGGATTCCTTGAAACCATAAAACTACATTTGACCCTCTCAGTGTCCAGAATCTACACCAGTCTTACTATGAATCCTGATGGTGTGACCCCAGAAAAGCCACTCCTAAGTGAAGGGCTGGGCCTGCTGGCAGAAACAGCAGCTCCAAGCCAGCCAGGCTGTAAAACCCAGGGGAGATCTGAGTTAAAAGTGGAAGGCCTTCATTAAGAGTTTTGCAAGCTGAAAAAATTCTGGAGGTGGACAGTGGTGATGTTTGCACAACCACCTCTGGGTACTTGTTGCCACTGCACTGTGCAGTCACAAGAGGCTAAAATTAAAAATTTATGTTATATTTATTTTACCACAATTTTTTAAACATGAGGACAGAGGATAAAGGTGGAACCTAAAGACATCCAGGTAACGGTGACGCTTGGTGAGTAATACACAAGACGACCCGAGTATTTAGAGCAGCCCAGAAAAGCCTGCACCTCCCCAACCCAAAAATAGAAAAATGAGGAATAGAAAAATAAAAGATTGCTTTTTGGAAGATTTGGTATTTGTTATTTTAAAAAAAACTGTGAAGTGGTTATCATGGGAAGAAGAAGTAAGAATTTTGTTTGGCTCCTTTTCTTTCTTGTTTACTATTCGGTTGGAGTGTTTTGTTTTGTTTCCAGTTTGAATTCATACCTGGGATGGCGCCAACAGTCTTTTCAGGACTTTGGATTCTTGAGGACTTAATCAGGCCACACCGTTGAAGAGGATGACGTGCTCTGAGTCAGCATTCCCCTGGCGTCTGCTGAGCGCCTGTGGAGGTCACGGGGGCGGGGCTCACAGCAGGGATGCAGTCTGGTGGGCTAGTGCCTGGGCCCCACTCCTCACACGGGCCTTGGCCTCAGGGCTCAGCTCGGCTCTCAGGAATCTGATCTCAGGGGCAATCTTCAGGGATGGTAGCTGTGCTTCGGGTGGCCACCTGAGGGGGAGGTCAAATTCATCCTTGCAACCAAAGGTCACGTGCGGATGAAAGGACTCAGCCAGCTGCCAGGCAGAGGCCAGGTCGGGGACGGGAGCGTCTGTCCCTGCTGAGCACCTGGCCAGGGAGGTGCCCCTGAGAGGAGATTTTAAGGAGTTGTCCGCACCCGCTTCCATCTGCAGCCCTGGAAATGCACATGGCAGAGCTGGAAATAACTCCAGAAAGCAGCTGCTAATCCTCGCAGAACACCGAGCCTCAGGTGGTGGCCTGGGACTTGTGTGCACAAGGCAGTTCTTTGATCGAAAGAAGTGTGTCGGGTGGGGAGGAGGGGCAGGAAGGAAGCTTCACAGACATCACAGACGCTTCCCTGGGATCGGGCTGCGATGCCCATCGCTAGGAGTTGAGGAGCGGTGAGGGTGGCCTGGCCAGGGGCCCAAAGGCTGTGACTCCAGCCTGAGGGGTTCCTATTGGTGATACAGCGAAGGGACCGAGACAAGTTTCTGGCTGATGTGTCCTGTCCCACCAAAATCACAGAATTTTACAATGAAAGAGATCTTACGGATGGTGTGACTCAACCACGCTCTTGGGAGGCTGGAAATAAAGCATTTAAGAGATTTAGATGGGGGTGGGGGACGGTGGGGAGGGTATAGCTCAGTGGAAGAGCACATGTTTAGCATGCATACATGTGGCCCTAGGTTCAATCCCCAGTACCTCCATTTAAATAAATAAGTAAACTTAATTACCTCCCCACCAAAAGAAAAAAAAGGTTAAAAAAGAGATTTAAACAAAACAGCATAGTTCAATTATTAACAGTTCAGACTAAGTGTCAGGCCCTCTGACCACACCTAAAATGCTTTATACTCCTCTGCTAAGCATTTATATTTTAGTGTGTGCGTCCAGAGTGTATGTGTATGTGTGTATACTGTTTATTTATGCGTAAGTGTGCATAACTGTATGTGCGTAAGTGTACGTCTGTGTGTGTGGCACGTGCATGTGCTTGTGTATACATGTAGCTGTGGGTACATGCATGTGTGTATGTACGCATATAAGCTTGTGCATATGAATGTATAAGTGTGTGTTTGTCCTGTGTGTCTTGTGTATATAAACGTGTGTATGCGTATGTCTGTGTTTCATGAGGTGAGGGATTCTCTCGCCAAAAAGACTTGTTCTTCTGGCCAAGAGCCTTGATTCCCGCTGATTCAGCCGTGAGTGCCCGTTTCCCACGACGGAGGTGACTAACAGAGCATCACGAGAACTGTCTTATCCCACCCCTCCATGCGGTCCTCCGGCCCCAGTGTGAGCCCAGTGGGATGCTGCAAGGCCCTCAGGTTCTGTCCGTCACAGCAGCAGTGATGATGGTCTTTCTGTCTTCCAAAAAGGAAGGAAGAAGGGGAGACCAGTCACCCTAGACGGAGGCCAGGGCTGGTTCCTCTAAGTCACGTGATTCTGTGACCAGTACTCACATGGGAAGGAGAAGCCAGGCATTTATTGCTGACAGTCTGTGCTCCCACCTCTGCGCTGGGAAGCAGCTAACCACATGCTTAGC